AGAAATATTTTTTAAATGGTCACTTTCAGACATTTGTTTTGCTAACTGAAATATGAATGTTTGTGTCAAAAACTATTAAAAACTGGTCTTTCTAACAGCTGAAATAGATCCATGTGGGACAGATACGCACATAAAAAAATTGCCTGCTAACCCCACTGACCCTAAATCCCTAATCTATCCCTAACCCAACCCTAAACCTGACATGAGGTAAGCAGAGATCAGGCATGTAAATACATATAAATTCCCCATTCTTTATACTCCCAGATCGGGTGCTAGTAGAGGCTGGGAGTTTGAGGGTCCTGCTCAGTTTCTTGGACTGCACTCTTCTACCTCTTAGTATATTTTAAGCTTAATTTTAAATATCAGACTGAATGATTTGACTGCTTCGGTGCATTAAGTCTCAAACTGGTGGGTAGAGCAAGTGTCAAAAATGAAAAATATGAATATGTTTTAACAACATTATTTTTCAGTTATCACAAAAAGCAATACCTGGAAACTCTAGAATATTCTTCTATATTTTTCTTACCTTAACTTGCCACTACTCAGACATTTACACATCGGTCCCAAATTAAGGATCTTGATGCATTTTGATGGTAAGAAAAATGAGTGAAAATTTCAGACTCAAATAACTTTAAATGTGTGAAAAATGGCTTGAAAGTGAGTGGATTGTAGATTTTTATTTATTTTTTATTTGTTATATTAGGATTAAATTTCACAGCAAGCATAAAGTTTTTATGCAAATCAGAGATGGATGAGTGTAAGGCCTGTGCTGGTGTGAAATGAAATAACCGATATGACAAAAGTTGTAGATGAAAGGATTCGCACAGAACACTCACCTAAAGCCAAGGCGTTCATCCGCCTTCAGCTCTTTGCCATCTTTGTGCCAGGTGATTTTAGGTGAGGGGACGGCTCTAAAGGGAACTGGAATGTGCAGCTTTTCTGTTTCCACAACAACTAGATCCAGAGTCTGGAATTCCAGAGTTGGGTTGCCTGAAAAAACGGAAAAACAAACTCTTTCTCAGCCACAAATGAAGGGCACTGGTGACTCTCAGAAACAAATATGAAGATTCTTACAGTCAGAGTCTTTGGCAAAGACATTTTCAGAGATGTCCGACGGTTCGCTCTCTCCGAGAGCGTTAACGGCCCTCACTCTCAGAATGTACTCCTTTTCAGGGGTCACACCCTCCTCTACGCAGTACTTGAGCTCCTTCACTGGACGGGAGTTCACCCTCATCCACTTCTCAGTTCCAGCCTCGCACATCTCAATGTGGTATCCTCTGAGAGGGGCACCGCCATCTGATTGTGGAGGTTTCCAGGCAATTGCCAGGAAGTCTCGGCTGGCTCCAGTCACGTGTAATTCGATGGGTGGTGATGGGATGCCTGGAGGGGAGAATGTAAACTCAGAGTCTCCACACTTTAAATCGTTTTTACTGTTACAATATAATTATTAATGAATTGAAAGCCTTTATTGTCATTATACATAGTATAACGAGATTAGAAATGAACCTTATTTATTTTTTTATCTATTTCCTGAGCTGACCTGTTGGATCTTCTATGGTGAGAATCTCGGTGGGTTCACTTGGGTGTCCACTGCCAGCCTCGTTCTCAGCTCGGACCTGGAACTGAACCTCTGTTCCCTCAATGACGTCTGTTACCCTGTACTTACAGTCTGGACCCGAAGTCTTCCCACATTTTACCCAGCGAGTTCCAAGCTTCTCTTTTTTCTCAATGGAATACCTGAACACCCAATGGAATACAAGGGAAATAGACCTTTATACATGCAAGGTCGAGGAAATAAATCTGCTGCTTTTGCTGCAGGTGCCATTTACATGGTGGTCTACTAAGTGCCTATCCTGCATGGGAAACGTAAGGAAATCAGTTTTGCAGAATTTTTTAAGTTGCACGGGACTTAAGTTGTGCAATGTCACATACAGGGTACAAGATAAAATGTGATAAAATGGTAAAATGTAACCTGAGGATGGGTCTTCCACCATCGTTTTTCGGTGCCTCCCACTGCAAGTCCACATATCTTTTGGTCACAGCACTGACAGCGAGAGCGTAGGGTGGGCCAGGAGTACCTGGAAATGAGGAAACATCATCGTCATTGACAGATCAGCAGTGAGGATTTTCATTGCTTTCAAATTGAAACGATTTGTGCGACTGCGCATCCTTTCTAACTTACTGAAAGTGTCTTTCGCCAGCACAGAGTCCTCCATCTCACAGAAGGGTCCGACACCCACAGCGTTCTCAGCAGCAACACGGAACACATAAAGCGACCCTTCATTGAGCGGCTTCACGTCGCACTTCAGCTCTTTGACTGTGGTGTCCACAGTCTGCCAACCTTTACGCCTCACGTCACGTTTCTCCACAATGTAGTTGGTGATGGCTGAACCTCCATTGCGCTCAGGAACTGCCCATTTCAGCTCAGCACTGTTCCTGCTGATGCTGACAACCTCTAACCAGCGTGGAGCTGTGGGGGGGTCTGGGGAAAGGAAGACAAAGCACAGTTTTAATCTGTCGGTGTGACCTGGCCAGCTTCAGAGCACCAGCTGTTGGATGTATCGCCCATATACCATAGCGTACCACGCTTATTCTCTACCAGTTTGTCTTAGAGGGAAATGTTTTGACTGTTTAAAACTTCAAATATTCCAACAATTAAAACTAAATTTAAACAATTAAACTCAATTTAAGAAAATGTGAAACTGTGCTTTACATGTCACATCATTTGTCTTTTCCAGATGAAAAACACATTTCATCTAAAAAACCTGTTTAATTCAGTGGGAACGTCCTCAGAGTTTGAACACTGATCAGCTGTCCTACAACAGTAAATGCTGAGCTGCCAGTCTGAGAGTTCAGCTGCTGAACATCCCTCCTGTCTTGTATTCCCCACATGGACGTTTTCCATTTTTACCAATTATCCAAGCGTGCATTTAAGTTTTGGTTTTCAGTTTTGGTACTGAAGCTATGATATATCCCACTGTACTGATGCTCATGATTGGACATAGATCTAAAAAAACAAAAAACTCACCCTGAATAAATGCAAAATTTTAACCTTATGAAATTTTAAGATAAGATAAGATAAGATAAGATAAAACTTTATTAATCCCTCGGGTGGGTTCCTCTGGGAAATTTGGTGCTGGAAAAAATAAGGCAGCTCTAATCAACCCACCTCTGTGTATTTTTATGGCAGTTTTATTGGCATTCTGAGAGGCTTATGTGGGAACCTTTCTCAGAGAACCCCACGTATGCTTATTGTACAGTTAACCGTTTGTAAATGGTAAATGGTAAATGGACTGGTTCTTATAAAGCGCTTTTCTACTCTTCTGAGCACTCAAAGCGCTTTACACAACTTGTGCATTCACCCATTCGCACAAGCACATTGTTCTAAGTGCTTTCTAAGTAACATTCACACACATTCATACTCCGATGGATGCATCGGAGAGCAATTTGGGGTTAATATCTTGCCCAAGGATATTTGGCATGCAGACTAGGGGAAGCCAGGAATCGAACCACCAACCTTCCGATCAGTAGATGACCTGCTCTACCGCCTACAGCCACCCCATGTGTTCTGGACATTTGTTTTTATTTCATGTTTCTCTAAATTGTCTGACAGCACCTGTGTTATAGAACCACACACACTAAATATCTATGTTTATTTGTGTGTGTGTTATAAATTGCACATTTTTTAAGTTCACCCGTCTTGTATCTATGTTTTACTCCAGTATGTTTTTAGATCATGAGTTATTCTTACTGAGTCTCTCTTTGCAGAGCACTGGGTCACTGGGTTCACTGGGTTCGCTCTCTCCAGCCACGTTAACAGCTCGCACTCTAAACGAGTACTCCTGCTTCTCCATCAGGCCCTTTAGGAAATATTCCAGCATGGGGATGTTCTCTGCCACGCGGATCCAGTCCGTGGTGCCGGTCTTTAGCATCTCAATGACATAGCTATCAATCTTTGCTCCGCCATCATGCTCTGGTTTGGTCCACATTAGGAAGCATGACGTCTTAGCTACGTCCTTCACTGTGGGTTTGCCAGGGGGCCATGGAGGGTCTGGTAGGAAAAACAACCGTGACATATTTATCTATTCTAAACAGATTTAAAGTGGTTATAGAAGTAAGGGAAATTTAGTACCAATAGGATCTTTAACAAGGATTGGATCTGTCTCCTTGCTGGGTTTTCCAGTTCCGGCCAGATTCTCAGCAAGGACTCGGAACTTATACTTCTTCCTGGTTGGAAGACCTTTGACCCTAATGAAGAAAAGTACACTGTAATCTACCAAAGAAGCTTAATGTAAGAGTCAGTTTTGAAATTCGACAGCAGAGTAGCTAGGCTAACCTTTTTTGTGTCTTTGACTGGTCAAAAAAGTTATAGCATATGACAGTTCTCTTTTTACCTGCATTTTAATGCAAATATAAAAAACTTCTATAAGACCAATAGTGTCAACATTTTGTTTTTTCAGGTTATACTGTTGCCTCATTTCCATTGTCAGATGTAGAATAATAGAGGTGATGCGTAATAGTTTCCCATATGCTTTTACACAAATCAATTGTTTTTAACATTGGGAACTATCACAAAGTACAAGGTTACAGTATTAACACTGCTGTGTTGCTGCTGTAGTGTTGCAAATGTGAACAATGGAGATTGTTGTGGACGTTTTCCATTAAGTAAAGCCTGCAGACGAGCGGTGAGCGGTAGCTAACATTCTTTAATCACAAACAAAGAACAAAAAACCAAGCTTGGTGGAGCCTGCATGATCGTGGGGCAGACGGTCAGCAGAGTCTCTGAGCCTAGCATGGCTCTCAGTTAAATACCGTCTCCAGGAACTAAAGGCAGTACACAGCTGTTTCACAGCTTAAGGTTAGCACTCCATTGCTACCTCCCACTGAAGCACAGCTGTGACGGCTGTATGAATTTATTGCTTCAGTCAGTCTTTGTCTGTTGGCATCAAAATCACTGAATTAACTTTTTTTCTAATAGGTTAACTTATGTGCTTTGTGAAAACAACAAAAGTAACCAGATCAGTTAGATTTCAGTCTGGTGTTACTAAACCACACATTTGTCCGTACACAGGTCGCTCATAAATGAAGTCTAAAGTTCTTATCTCCCAAAATGTATTTGATCCAGAGAGTCCTGGATAGAAGGTGAACCTGGTAACAGTGAAA